GGGTTGGAAAAGTGGGGGTCGTCTTGTACATGGGGGCGTCTTATTGTGGGAAAAATCCGGTAATCTCATCACTGAAGAGAATTTAGCTCTGAATTCCAACCCCATTTCCAACCAATATCAAGAATGGTCGCGTCTCCAGCTTTTGGCCTAAAGGTAGACAACTTCAGAAAGAATGAAAGGTTTTTGTTTGCTGGATGCTTTGGGGATACCTGAGGCCCCTTTAGGGTAAAACAAAAATGGTATAAGCAGCTAGAGAATGTTGGAGATGTCTGGAGAGATTAGTCAGACTATAGGGAATAACAGCCAATAATGCTGAAACAATACAAGTGATGGAGAATCGGCACAGATGGAAAGGTTATTCCCAAGAACCTCAGCACATGGTTGGGGACATAATGGAAGATTATATTTGCTGACTTACAAGGAGTGATAGTATAGACATGGAGCCCCCATTAAAGGTCAGAAAGCATTTAGAGGATTCAGAATAAGAAACACATGAGTTTGAAAACCAAAAGTCTTCCCCAAATTAGCAAAAATAGTCTATGATTAAAAGTTGCAGGATGTTCAGCCAGTAGCACTGGAACTCTCAATCCCTTTTCTTCATGCATTCTGGATATAGCTTCCTTTGGCGACAAAAAGTTTCCTTCTGATGAAGAGTGCTTGGCACCTCATCCTTTCATAAGTACATCAATTATACATCTGTTTTGCCCCTAAGAAAGTGCTACATTTGTTCATTTCAACTAGTAGAAGAGGGCTGGGGAGGGCAGGCAGTGGGAAGTTCTTTCTCACCAATATAATGCATAAGATTTCCCATCTAGTGGGACAATATTGGTGTGGGTTTCTCTTGTAAAATATTATTCTTGTCCTATAAGGACACTCAGCTTTGTTTTGTCTTCTGAAATGAACAAATGTAGCACTTTCTTAGGGGCAAAACAGATGTATAATTGATGTACTTATGAAAGGATGAGGTGCCAAGTACTCTTCATCAGAAGGAAACTTTTTGTCACCAAAGGAAGCTACATCCAGAATGCATGAAGAAAAGGAATTGAGATTTCCTTCCGACTGGAGCAAGAAGGAAGAGGTTGAAGTGCATCCCTCACAGAGACAGGATGTGTCCCTAGCAGATTTCCAATAAGCCACTGTGACCTTTGGTTTAAGAGTTCTCCCTCTCTCTTCCTCTGGCCTAACATATTATAGATTCTTTCTTCACTGTAATACTGAGTCCTTCAGATTTAAATATAATAAAATGCCATATCACCAGGGAACATTAAAAACAAAGGAAGCTTCCTTCAGATGTGAAGAAGTCTTTTCATTTTCAAAATCTTCCTGCTTTCCATTCTTGAAGGGTGCGTGAAGACAAATTGAAAGAACTCAGAAGAATTCAGGAAGAACGGCTGAAGCTTGCTCTTGAGAGAGCAATTGCAGAACCAAAGAAAAGGGTTGGTAGTATTGCTTTAAAGATTATATGTTCTTAGATTGTGCCTTACTCAAACCTTGCTGATGGCATAAGAATGGAAGCTTGCCTAGCTACATAGTCAAAGCCTAAACTATTCGTACTTAAAAGTTTTTACTAGCATCTTATGTCTTACCTAATTTTGCATATTGTTGGCTTGTGAACTATGTGTCCTACTCAATTAAGGACAGAGACATGTTCCTATATACAGAGACATCCCACAATATAGTTCAGCAGTGGTCCCAATTTTTAAATATTTGATTTATAAATATTTGGCCAAAGACTGGTTTAAATAGATGCGCTATAGGAACAGGATTTAACCAATGAAGCAACATAGTCTACTATACTCTAGTGTTTTTTGAATGATGCCAAATAAAGTTATACTAATTATTCGAAAGAGATGCTTTACAATGCATGGGAGCACAGAGAGCACCCATTTGGGGATCATGAAGACATTTATTTGCAAGATTTGCTTGACTGTTTCAGAAGCTGCTCCCGGCTGTCGTCATGTGCATGTATCTTTAGCAGAGTGGCTGTGCATGTACACGCACATGCACATGGAGATAGGTAACAGTAACCTCTGAAGGAGCTGCACAAACTTGGAAAATATTGTCACTGTTTTAAGTTCGAAAACAGTTGCTTTGCATACAGTACTATTCATTGTAAAGCACCTCTTGAATACTCTGCTGTAATTCTCTATTATCTAGGGTACACAAATATGGTAATATGGTACACAAAGAAGAAAGGAAAGGGCAAATGGGGCCCACAATGAGGGTCCTTGCCTTACTGACCTTCCCACTTAGAAACAGTTTTTTTATTATTTTGATTCTTTCCCCTTACACCCACTAATCTGAGGATGACTATTTGGTTCAGCCACAGTATATTTTCTCAGTAAAGACCAGCCTTCCCACCCCTGACGCCTCCAGATCTGTTGGATTATAATCCCCTCATCTCCAGTCAACATTGCCAGTGGCCCAACATCATTAAAGAAAATACAGCCTTGGAAATTACTGTTGTATATGTCATGAGTGTGATGTATGTCATGAGTGTCAGGTGCCCCCTCCAAGTAGAGATGCACTAGGCTTAGCCAGAGTTGATAAATGCTCTCCTTGCCACAGATGTTGCATGGCTGGGTAGCGTCAATCCACACACATCAGACTGCAAACATCTGTTAAGAGACAGTGAGTCCCATCTTGAAAAGGCACATCTCTCCAATCCTGAAATTCAGTTTCCAGAACCAACAGTGACATTAGAAGTTTTCTAGTTCTTTGTATGCATGGAGGATTCAAACAGGACAAAGAATTGGGCCATACATGCAGCCTCATCATGGTTATCTCCAACCTTCATGTACTAAGGCAGGAGCTTTGGGGATATACTCACTTTCAGTTCAGGTCCCTGTGTGATCCAGGACCTAATAAAGCAAGGTCCTGGATTGTGCTGACAGTGTATCCATGTTCCATCTTCAAGCAGGTACAACTCACTTTCAGAACTTCTATCTGAACGCATGGACATTGGACAGAGATTAGGGCAGGGCTGTGTACTTATATCACTTCTTGCTTCACGTTGAATTCTCCATATATTCAGGCAAATACTTGAATTCAACTACTTAACCAAATTCAGCTTGTTCTCCCACTTTCAGTTCATTAGCAATCTTGTCCAAACTCAGAAAATTGGGTTAATTTTATTAACCATGGTACATGTGTTACGTGAACACAACAAAATTCACCTAAATGTAAAAGAAAATTATCCAATGTGGCACAAGAAATTCAAGATGCTGCAAAGCTGCTTGATCCTAGCTAAAGGAAAGTTAGTTTATGAATTCAGAATGTGCATGAATACATTTTTTCAAAAGGAAGACAACCCCAAATTTAAGACAACTCCCCCTCATACACACATACACGAGAAAATGATTCCATCAGTTTTTCTCAGTCTGGCTCCCTTTAGCCATGCAGACTTCAAAGTCTTGAATTCTCAGCAAAAACTATGCTAGCTGGGGAAATTGGGGAACTGAAGCACACACATCCAGAGGGCACTTAGATTGAGATTGGAGGGATCCAACAGGAGAATAGTTTGTCTTCATTATACAGATATAATTTTATTTATTTATTTATCATATTTATATGGCCGTCCATCTCACAATAAAGTGACTCTGGGTGGCATACAACAAACTTAAAAACAATATATATAAACTAATATTAATGTTATTAATATTAAAAACTTTAAAATTATAAAAGGCACAAAATTAAGAGAATAAAAAAGAGACTAGGTGAACAGCAGGTATTAATTTTACACTGGAGCCATCTCAATATTTCGCCACTCCCCTGGAGTCTCCAGGCCTGATGACACAACCAGGTCTTGAGGGACTTCCGGAAAGTTAAAAGGGATGAAGCCAACCTCACGTCAGGGGGAAGGATGTTACATAAAGCAGGGGCCACAGCAGAAAAGGCCTGCTGCCTAGGACCCACCAAATGAAGCTCCCTAGCCAATGGGACCCACAGCATGCCCTCTCTGCTGGATCTGGTGGGACAGGTAAATGTAATTGGAGAGAGGGGGTCCCTCAAATAACCCAGTCCCAATGCAAGTATATCAGGTGAAATACCAAGTGATGCAGCAACACCTTTATCTGCACTGAATGAGTGTATGTGGGGATACTTTATCTCTTCCTGAAAGAAAATGACCTTACAACTGTGTTTGCACAAGCTAACTTCCACTGTTTTGTATCTAGTTCAGAACCTTAAAACTGGCATATAACTCAGCAGCCAGATTTGAAACAATTCAAAAATCACACTATCCCTCTGTTAAAAACATTGCATTGACTACCATCTGCTCCAGGAAAACTACAAGGGCTAATAATTATTTTTAAAAACGTTCTAAAGGTTGTGGGAGTCAGGTCACTTGGGAAAACACTTCTTTCTGCATTTCTTTCTCTGCCGGCACAAAAGAAATCATCACTGTTGCTGCAAATCTTTCGATGGCATTCTGAGCTGAGCAAGGGATTTAGCTTCTTTGTCCACTTTTTAAAAGGCTGTTAAATTCACCTTAAGATCATAGTTTTGTTTTTATATTATTTGTTTTCTTACTAAACAACCTGTGACCCATTGGGTCATTTCAGAGATATTTCCTTACCTAAACAGAGAAACGTAATGACCAAGGGCAAAAAAGCAGTGGGAGTGTAAGTGACTTGCAACTTGCTGTTGGCTTCCCCATTGACTTTCCTTGTGGGAAGCTGGCAGGGAGTGTCAGAAATCCTTCCTTCCTTTCCCTTCCCCCCTCCCTCCCTTTCCAGATATAATATAGGCTTGCACCATTTGCCCTCCCCCCACAACCCTCAGAAGAATCCCCATGAAGCCGCCTCCTCAACTGACCCGCGGAACTGCCTGCCACTTTGCTGGGGGGAGATGGAACAAAGGGAGCCACAGACTGTGAGGAAAACTGCACCTCCGCTCCACATTCTGGCATGTCACCAAGGGCCCCCTCCCTCAAGGAAGAGGGCTTACCTGTTGACCACCAGCATCCCCCAGCCAGCCCTACCTTGCCAACAGGCATCCAAGTTTCTCCCTCATTCTTCCCTCAATGCCCATAGCCGTTAAGAGATTTCAAGTTTTCGCCTTGGTTCCAAAGCAGCCAATCACCACTCACCCATCAGGTCTTGCCACCAGCCAATTGAGTGGAGAGGACAGTGGAGGTGACAGAGGGAGGCAGGAAAGAGGTTGGGGATTCGCCCATGACGATCATGTGACCTGGGCTGACCACAGCAGTGCAGCAGCACAGCAGTGCTGAAGCAGCCACAAATTTCCCAAATTTCAATCCCATGGGAGTGATGGGTCCCGGATTTTGGATGCATTCTGTAAGTTAGCCCATTTGAGGTGCCTTGGTTCAAA